CAAGCAAAGTCTTTACAGACTCCGGCATTGGAATGTTGTTTCCAATGAGCAATATGTCATCGACATATAATACAAGGAATGCAATGTCACTCCCACTAACCTTCTTGTATACACAAGACTCATCTAGATTCTTGATAAAACTAAACTTGCTGATGGCTTCATCGAATCACAGATTCCAACTCCTGTTAGCTTGCTTTAATCCATAAATGGACTTCTTAAGCCTGCATACCTTCCCAGCATTGTTTGGATCTACAAAACCTTCGGGTTGTGTCATGTACACAGTTTCTTCCAAAATCCCATTAAGGAAGACGGTTTTGACGTCAATTTGCCATATTTCATAATCATAATATACGGCAATTGCTAGGATAATCAGGACAAATTTAAGCATGACGACTAGCGAAAAGGTTTCATCATAATCAACCCCGTGAATTTTCCTGTAACCTTTTGCTACCAGTCTAGCTTTACATACATATGCAATTCCATCTTTGTCGGTTTTAAATTTGAAAATCCATTTGCAGCTGATAGGGGTATAACCTTCGGGCAAGTCAACCAAGTCCCAGACTTGATTCTCAAACATGGAATCCATCTCGGATTTCATGGTTTCTAGCCATTAAGCGGAGTTCGGGCTCGTCATAGCTTGTTTGTATGTTATTGGCTCATCTTCATCCATAACTACGATGTCTTGATTCTCGATTAAGACGATATCGAGGTATCTGTCCGGTTGAGACCTAGGCCTTTGCGACCTACGCAGGGTAGTAGATTGAGCATTTGCATTGTCAGTTTGACTTTGAATATTGTTAGTTTAACTCTGACTTTTATTAGCAGTTGCTTCCAAATAACTTTGATTGTCAGTTTTATCAGTTTGACTTTGTTGCTCATTTTCTCGAACTTCATCAGGTTCGATTTTCCTCCCACTTGTCATTTTGGAAAGATGCTCCTTTTCTAAAAAGACACCATCTCGAGCAATAAATACTTTGTTCTCTGATTGGTTGTAGAAGTAATACCCCTTTGTTTCTTTTGGATACCCCACAAAGAAACATTTGTCCGATTTTGGTGAAGCTTGTCGGACATGAGTCTTTTGACATATGCTTCGCAAACCTAAATCTTAAGAAAAGACAACCGTGGAGGTTTCTTCGTCCATAATTCATATGGAGTCTTTTCGACAGCTTTTAACGGAGCACGGTTCAGTGTTAGTGCCGCGGTTTGAAGTACGTGTCCCTAAAAAGAGATAGGAAGATCAGTAAGACCCATCATGGATCGAACCATGTCTAACAAAGTTCCATTGTGAAGTTTCGAGAGTTGTCAGTTATGAGAGAATACCATGTTCTTTTAGATGGTCATCGAATTCATAGCTCAAATACTCGCCACCTCGATCTGATTGAAGGGCTTTGATTTTCTTGCTGAGCTGATTTTCCACTTCACTCAGAAATTCTTTGAACTTCTCAAAGGATTCAGATTTGTGTGACATTAGGTAGATATAACCATATCTACTATAGTGGTCCATGATTGTGATAAAATAGCGATAACCATTTCTTGCGGTTATGCTCATTGGTCCGCATACATCCGTGTGTATGAGACCCAATAAGTCACTAGCCCTTTCTCCTAACTTGGAGAATTATTGTTTTATCATTTTGCCAAGTAAGCATCCTTCGCAGTTTTCAAACGACTCTAAGTCGAGTGAATCAAGAATCCCTTCATGTAGAAGTTTCTTGATGCATTTGATATTTATATGGCCTAGACGACAATGCCACAAATTAGTTTCATTCAAGTCATTGGTCTTAACCCTTTTGGCGGTATTGTTAACATTATAAATCCTTTTGTCTAATGAAAGCACATATATTAATGTGATATACCATAGAACATTTAATCAAGACGTGTAAAATAACCATTGTCGTTGTCTTGTGATAAAAAACTACCCGGCGTCCAATGCCAAAGATCATAATTTGCTCAACGATAAAGTATAATAAAACTAAATAAGTTCTATTACATCTCAAAAGACAAAAATTGTGCCTACAAACACGGCAGAAGGACTGTCGTCCGGATGTAGTAGCACATTCACTTGTGAAGCCTCTTACTTGGTTCCTGAAATAGGAGCATAAAGTGAGTCATACATGGTATCCAATACCTATGAATTGCTTATACACAAGTGTTAGGTTACAATAAAGATACCTGGGGTGGATTGTAACACCCTAGAAATTTCTTTCCTTTAAAATACCAAATTTGCCCTTTTAAAATTACGAAATAGGAAAATCTAAGACATTAGCGCCACCATGAAAACGGCTAAGGAAAATATCAAAGACACACACAGTAGAAGACTATCTTTAAAACCATGTAAAAATAAGTCAACTTAAAAAAAGTCAAACCAAACGAAAGTAAAGTCAAACAAAGTCAACCTACAACTCAGAACCATTGTAGGCCCTTAAAACCAAACAATAATGAATACCTTTGTGTTAGTCTCGAGAGCATAATAATATAAATAATATTTAAAGCAAATGTAACACATCATATTTCTATGAGAACTAAGCATGATTCGCTTTTCACTCAAGCCCATCATGAATATGCTTTCACCACCTATAAAGCTTCTCTCTACTTGTCCCCACTACTCGCTATTAGAAATGGGTCGTCGTAGGGCCAAGGTAAAGATAAGGCAAAACAAACATACAAACACACAATCAGCAATGCTGAGTACATAAGCGTAATAAAACACACTAACATGCTTTCATCCTATCATCACACAGCTTACCGTGTAGCACCTGTTTACAAGCATACAAAACACTCAACACCTAACTAGACAAATATCAATGTTCATTTAATTTTGATTACACATCGAACGAGTTTCCAACCAAATCCGTGCCTCAAATAACTTGAGGTAAACTACACCGGGAGCTAACCGAGTAGGCAAATGTCACATGAAGTGACTGGACGTCCTGCGCATAAAATAAATAAAAAGGAAAATACAGCGTCCTGTACTCCCAGTAGAAGTTATGGTCAAATATAAAGTCGCATAACTCCCCCCATATGTTCATACTCAAGGTATATACGTTCCAAGAGTTTTAGTGTGTAATCTCTTTCACTTTACGTGTTTACATATTATTATACTTGGTGATGACCCTCAAACTATAGCACAATCAAACATTATAAATCATTCAAGCAATCAAACATACCAATTTAATTCTTGAATAATTAGTGACCACATAAATTTAATAATTGAACCCTTTTTAATCTACCTCAGTGTCAAAGACACCTTAAATACATAACGCACCGCAAATCCTATCCCTCGGTGTTAGAAACACCTTAAGTGCACATAAGCACCACAATATAATTCATTCCTGTGTACTAAGACACTTGATAGCTCGATTCCCATGCTTAAAGCATCAATAAAAATTATATGAACCATAATAAAATTTCCTTTTCATATTCCCAACCAAATCAAACGATTAGTTTATTTAAACATGCTCTCTAACATGTAAATAATAAAAGCGTGGTTCATAACCAACATGCCAACATAATTAATTCCAATCATCAATTCACCACAAATAATTCATCATACATCACAAATCATTCACCAACATCGATCCAATCAACAAATTTCAACCATCACCTATCATGATACTACTTGGAATTAATTAAGCAAAGCCTAGCATACTTCTACATATTCAACTAAATACTAAGTACGCGAACGTACCTTGAATATGATCTCATAATCGCCACGACTAAACTCACTTGAAAGTCTCCTACAAACTACAATTACAAAGAAGTATTAATACCTCTTCCACACAAATTTCCAGCGATCTATACACTCTTTAAATCACTCATAAACCCTCTAAAATAAGCTAAAATTTTATTTAAAACCCTTACTTTTATTCCCAATTAATTGGTAATTAAAAATCCTTTCAAGAAACATAATTATAGCTTATATATAAAAATTCCAGCATTATTAAAACTTATAAACTTGCTGTAATTTAATTTAAAATCATTAATTTTAATAGTTTTAATCAACCACAATCATATTCCATCAATAAACATTAATTTAGAAACTTAGGATTTTCAATTTGGGGCTTTTTAATTCAAAACCAAATCTGAAAATTTATATACAAAATACTTATCATTAAACATCATAAAATCATCACGAAACCCAAAAATAATAATTAGATTTAGGGTAGATTGAATTAAAAACAAAAAGAATAAATAGTTTTTTTTTATTTTGAAAAGGGCGCACGAACCACCATGGCTGGGCGGCTGCCGCGTGCCGGCTTGGTGGCTGCCGCTGCTGGCGTGCGCCGGTGGTGGTGGCGCCGGGCGAATGGTGGTGATTGAAAATAAAATAAAATAAATAAAGGGGAAGGGGAGAAATTAAGGGGAAAAGAAAACAAGAGGAGAGAGAGAGTTTACCTTTGGGTGCACTCCACCTTAGGCATATGATGGGTATTTATACCCCCTCTCAATATCCCTCCTACTTAAAATTCCTTTACTACCCTTAATGATCTCTTTCCTAGTCAAACTAGTATTTTGACTTTCCTTAAATACCATTGACTCTAAAAATTATCTTTTTATAAAATAATATGCCCCAATATTTTCAAATCATAAAATATAATATTTTCAAGATCATTAAATAATTAAAAATAGACTTTTAATTAAAATAATTCTTTTTAAATTAATAAAACCATAAATAATTCATTTTGAATTATTTGAATACTTTAACAAATACTTATTTAAATTAAAATACGTATAAAAATACGGGGTATTACAGTCTACCCCTCTTAAAAGAAGTTTCGTCCCGAAACTTGGGCAACGAAAATCAAACTTTTTCTCACTTTGTATAATATTGTTGTTCTCTTTTGTCTTACTTTTTCCTTTAACATCTCTTTGAGATCAAAATTACTCGAAATAACCGTCAAAAATGTGCAAAAAGCACAAAAATAACTGAAAATATAGGGAAAAAGCGCGAAATTCTACCGCATTCTACCCTCCTTAAAGAACAAGAGTTACGTCCCCGTAACTCACCATACCTTAAACAACTCAGGATATTTCTTTTTCATCTCATCCTCGGCTTCCCAAGTTGCTTCCTCATACTCTTGGTTAGACCATAGCACTTTAACAATCTTAACTTCCATATTGCGCGTACTACGCACTTTATTGTCAAGGATCTTGACAGGTTTTTCCTCATAAGTTAAGCTTTGATCTAACTCAATAGTTTCAAGTTGTAGCACATGCGAATTATCGGGGATATATCTTCTTAACTGAGATACATGAAATACATCATGCACTTTACTTAGCTCTATAGGTTAGGCCAACCTATAAGCTACTTTGCCTATCCTTTGCAATACTTCATATGGACCAATATACTTTGGGCTAAGCTTCCCTTTTTTTTTCAATCTCATTACACCTTTCATTGGTGACACCTTTAACAATACTTTATTACCAACCTCAAATTCCTCCTCTCTACGCTTCAAATCCGCGTAGCTCTTTTGGCGATCTTGCGCCGCTTGAATCTTAGCTTGAATCTCCTTTACCTTTTTAACTGTATCCTCGATCATTTGAGGCCCTAAAATCATTGTTTCACTTATGTCGTTCCAACAGATTGGACTGCGACACTTCCTTGTATATCATGCCTCAAATCGAGCCATGCCAATGCTCGCATGGTAGCTATTATTATAGGAAAATTCAATTAAATCCAAGCTATCTTCCCATCCTCCTTGGAAATCCATAACATAAGCCCTCAACATGTCTTCCAAGGTTTGAATGGTTCTCTCAGTTTGCCCATCTGTGGCAGGGTGAAAAGCTGTACTCATCTTAAGTGTTGTACCAAAGTTTTCCCGCACACTCTTCTAGAACCTTGAAAGAAACCTAGAATCTTTATCAGACACAATATCTTTTGGAACTCCATGTAACCTCACCAAATTTTTGATGTAAGCTTTTGCAAGTTGTTCCATCTTCCAGGTCTCCTTCATTGGTATAACCACCGCAGGTTTTGTAAGTCCATCCACCACTACCCAAATGGTTCGTTTCCACTCTTTGACTTTGGGAGGCAAGTCACAAAGTCCATTGAAATATAATCCCATTTCCATCTAGGAAAATCCAATGATTGCACAGTTCCTTGCAGTCTTTTGTGTTCTATCTTCACTTTCTAACAAGTTAGACACTTTGCCACAAATTCCGCAACTTCATTCTTCAATTTGGGCCACCAATACACTTTTTTCAAGTCTTTATATAGCTTGTCCCCTTCTGGGTGTACCGAGTATGGTGTATTGTGACCCTCTTCCATCAACTTTCTCTTTACCTCCTCACATTTTTGTGGTACACACCAACGACCTTTGTACCTTAAACTCCCATCTTCATGAATCTTGAAATCCGTAGCTTTTGCTTGCTTTATTTTCTCACGAATCCTATCCAACTTTACATCTCCTACTTAATTTTCCTTTATCTCATCAAATATGGTTGGTTGAATACTTAGATTCGCAAGTATGCCTGCTGGCACTCCCCATTCTACCACTTCTAGATTCATTTTCCTCATTTCTCTACATAACTCATCGACCACTATCAAAGTGTTCAGTCCATGACTAGTTTTACGACTTAGAGCATCTGCGAATACATTTGCTTTCCCCTCATGATATTGTATGTCGAAGTCATAATCCGTCGTATTTTGGCGTGAGTTTAAATTCCTTTGAGTCAAGATGTATTTCACACTCTTATGGTCTGGGTAAATCCTACATTTCACTCCATACAAGTAGTGCCTCCAAATCTTTAGCGCAAAATGATTGCAGCTAGTTCTAAGTCATGAGTAGGGTAATTTACTTCATGAGTCTTTAATTGTCTTGATGCATACGCAATCACCTTCCTATTTTTCATAAGTACACATCCTAGAGGTCATAGATTTAGCAATCTTTGAGAAATCTTTCACAAAACGCCTATATTACCCTGCTAAACCTAAGAAACTCCTAACGTCAGACACCATTTTTTTGCATAGGCCAACCTTTCACTACCTCAATCTTTGCTAGATCTACTTCTACCCCATCTTTGTACACAAAATGACCCAGAGATGCCACTTTCTCCAACCAAAACTCACACTTAGAGAAATTTGCGTAAAGTTTGTTTTCCTTTAGTGTTTGCAGAATTGCCCTTAAATGTTCTACATGTTATTCTTTACTCTTCGAATACACCAGTATATCATCTATGAACACTACCACAAACTTGTCCATAAATGGATGAAACATCTTGTTCATCAAGTCCATAAAGATTGCTGGAGCATTCGTCAATCCAAATGGTATTACTGTAAACTCATAATGTCCATATCTTGTTCTAAATGCAGTCTTGGGAATATCTTCATCTGCAATCCTAAGTTGATGGTATCCAGACCTTAAATCAATTTTAGAAAACACAGTCGCGCCTTTCAATTGGTCAAATAGGTCATCAATCCTTGGTAGTGAGTACCTGTTCTTTATGGTGACCTTATTTAACTCCCTATAATCAATACATAACCTCGTACTTTTATCCTTCTTATTCACAAATAACACTGGCACTCCCCAAGGTGATGCACTTGGTCTTATATAACCCTTTTCTAATAAATCCTGTAATTGCTCCTTTAACTCACTCATCTCTGCAGGTGCCATTTAATATGGTGCCTTGGAAATTGGTGTTGTTCCTGGAACTAGCTCTATTGTGAAATCAATTGCCCTTTTAGGTGGCATTCCAGGAATTTCTTCAGGAAACACATCCAGAAACTCATTCACTACTTCTATATCCTCAGGCTTAGTTGTCTCCACATGCTCCATATTCCTCACACTACAAAAATACACCGGATGCCCCTTCTTAATATACTTTGCCAGTTTTAACACAGATATGATCCTTAGGCACTTGGCTTCACCATGCATCCAATATGTCACCAACTCATTATCAGATGTAGTCATTTTTAATTTCTGTGATCTACAACTAATCTCTGCAATGTACTTGCTCTACCAATCCATTCCCAAAATGACATCGAAGTCACTCAATCCAAACTCAATGAGATCCAAAAAAAACACTTTTCCTTCGATTTCTAAAGGTATATCTCTAAAGAATTTGTTACACTTTACTACCCCACCCGTAGGAATAATCATAGGCAAATCTACCTCATCTACGGTTTTCAAACAGTTTGATAGTTTTGAAACAATGACCTTTGAAATGAAAGAAAAAGTTGCTCCAGAATCAAAAAAGACTTTAATAGGAATAGAGTTAATAGAAAAAGTACCAGTGATGACATCTTTCATGGAATCAGCCTCATGCCTACTCATAACATTCATCTTTCCTGCAGCTCCACCTTTCTGTTGGTTGTTCCCATTATTATTGATGGTTTTCGCCGCATTCTGTTGTGCCCCCTTATTCCTAGAATAGTTGTTACTTCCCTGAAAGTTTCACTGAGCCCCTATTTGATTATTGCTCTATTTGTTTCGATTGGGATCCTTGGAGAAACATTCATACTCCCTGCGTCCTAAATTGTTGCAAGCACGACAAGTAACCAAATTCCCATCACAATCCCTTCCAGGGTGGTCATTCTTACACCTCTTGCAATATAAATGTCTTGCTCCCTTGTTATTTCCCTGGGTAGAGTTCCTAGCTCCACCATTAAAGTTTCGTCCACCTTGGCGATTGTTGCCTTGAAAATTATTATTGTTGTGGAAGTTGTTGTTATTATGATGGTACTTTTTCTTCTTAAAGTTGTTCTGGTCACCTTGCGGGTTTCTAGAATTCTGTCCTACCTCTTTCTCTTTTCTTTCCCTTCTATCTCAGCTATCTCTTTCTTTTTCTTTGATTCTAAGGCATATAGGTGTGCAACTCTCCCATACACTTTATCCAAGGTTTCAAATACTTGACCACACAGCTTTAACTGCAAATCAGTAGTCATACCACTCTCAAACTTTCTAGCCTTAGACTTTTCTGTAGAAGCGGACTCCTTAGCAAATCGTGACAGCTCAATAAACTTGGTGTTGTATTCAGTAACTGACATATTCCCCATAACAAGATTAGAAAATTCCTCAGCCTTTTGTTTCTATAAGAAGATAGGGTAAAACTTGTCCCTAATCTTCTCTTGAAACATAGTCAAACTAAATCCAGGTAATTCCTTAATGGTAGCTTCATTTTGCTGCCACCAAAGGTCAGCTTCACCCCTAAGGTAATAGGTAGCACAACCTACTTTTTAGTTCTTTTGACACCCTACTGCCCCGAACAATTTCTCAAACTCCCTCAACCAATTTTCCAGTATAGTTGGATCAGGCTCTCCTTGATAGGTTGGTGGCTTACTCTACGCCACCTTCTTAACAGTTCTCCCTGAGCATCTACGTTATTGGTTGAGTTCCTTGCTAATTGTTGGGCAAAAACTACTGACTGCCTCACAACTTCACTCAACTCTCCTCCATCGTTGTTGTTACCACTCTCTCCTGCCATCTTTCTTCGCCTGAATTAACACAAAGGGGTCTTTATTAAAAGCGGTCTTGGCTAGCTCTCAAGTTAGACACTCAACCATCTAACTCACACCCTTGACATATACACATTAAAATTTAAGCTAACAAATTAGGATTTACAAAAATTAAAATTCCCAAAAGTTGCAACTTTACAACCAAATATTGATTGCTAACCAACCACACACTTAATAAAGCATCATATTAATAAATAAAAATTAATTCCCATGGATACCTAAAGTTTAGAATAAATTATTGGAATATTTTTGAGCAAGAAATGACTTATTGGAGTAGTGATACGAAATGAATGATTTGGGAACGAAATAAATGATTTGGGAACGCAATAAATGATTTGTCAATAAAATGAATTAATTGACAAAGAATTAAATGGAATTTTATTGATAAGTAAGAAAATGAATGGAATACTGAAATAAAATTAGTTTAAATAACTTATGTAACTACATAAGTTTACTGGCTCACTATGGACATGCCACTTATTACTTTACTGGAACTGAAATAATTAAGATGCGGAAATGAATCTAAGAATTCTAAAAGAAATGAAACTACAAAAATCTAGTCTTTTCGAACTTTATCCCTCCTGTAGGGAGATTGTTTGTAGCTTCCAGGATCGAATTCAGGGTCATCCTTGTCTTCCATTGGTTTAGGTGACACCGGTTCTTGCTCTACTTGGACAAACTCTTCATCTTCCTCATCGTCAGATGAAATATCAATTATAATTGGAGTTGGAGGTGGATTTGGATTTGGAATTTCCTTACAGTTTGGTTACTCTCATCCATCATCTCTCCTTCTTCTTGCCCTCCACCTGTCCCTATTTGATTAGCCTGAGTGGGAGAAGAACTTCCTGACTGATGACTAGTGGAAAGGGAATTATTACCTGCTGGAATATTATAGTAGTAGTTGGGATATGGAATGTTTAAGTGCTAGCAATAATCTTTCTTAACTTTACAAGGTAAGAAATCAAGTATCTGTAGTCAGGGTACCACTGTCCATAGAAATTTTTGTATTTAGAGTAGTTTGGGATGTCCCCTGGTAAATAAAAATCGGAGAACTTTGATTTAATAGCAAGGTATGGGGGTTCATATGGAAGACAATGAATAATC